GATCAATATTTGGCAATAGAAAACTCCCATTTTGCCTCAATGTTGGTGCATTACGTCCATGAGAGAGTGGGGAGACAGAATTTTGCGGGTACCTTTGCCTCCCCCAGCGGTTAGGTAAGTCTCTTCTCCCTCTTTCTCCCTTTTCTTCCCCCTTCTCTCTCCCTCTTTCTCTCTGCCCCCTTTCTCTCTCTCTCTCTCTCCTTTGCTTTTTTCATCCTCACAGGAACCCAATGCGGGCCTCCTCAGTGAGTTGATTGTTGACATGTTTTTGTGATTTCTTCATTTAATCGTGATGAGCATTGTCTCATCATCATTTTGCAACAAACGAGACTTGATTTCATGCCCGAATGAAGTTTTTCCCATTCTTGAAATTTTTGGCCGGAATCTAGTCTTGCTGGATGGAATTTGTAGTAGCTTCATCTTCTCCGTGTGTCAAATCCGACCGTTGGTTTCATGTGAGACTTGGCCTAGAGGTAGCTTTGGGCCTCATCTATACGACGGGACTGGTCTCGCTTTGATCAGATGCACAAGCATCGTGATACAGCCATTTGATCACGGTGCGCCACTGCTGTATTTCCTGCAACACTTGCTACAAAATGGCGACTTCTCTTTAGGTTTTCTTCTGGCTCCGGTGCTAGAGGTTGATTCTACCATACTTGTTTCTTTGACTGCACAGCCTTGGACAAGTCAGAATGTGACAGAACTTGGCAGGTGGCATTTTGGAGTCCATTGGAAGATCTTGGCCCATTTTGGGGTCATTCTGAGACTGACGACTTTTCCACTGAATTGCCAGGCTTTATTTACCGGTTTCTCTTTTTTTTTATTTTTTATTCCACATCGAGGTCCAAGGTGTTGACAAATGTCTTTAAACACCAGGCTCTCATAATAGGACTGAAAGTCGCTCTAGAGTTAAAAATAGAACAACTTTCCATCTTTGGCGACTCTGAGTTGGTGATTCGGCAACTGAGATATACAATGTAAGAAAGGACACCCTCAAACCATGCCACGATACTGCAAAATCCTTCATGGTGCAATTTGAGAGCGTATCGTTGATGCACATTCCCAGGCGATTGATCTCTCAAGCTGACGCGTTAGCCAAGCTCGGGGCAACTATCCAAATAGCTCCAAAAGGGCCGACGCTTATATGGGTGGCAGAATGGAGACACCTAGAATTGACAGAGGGAGTTGACGGGGATGATGAAAGGATTCTCTTCCCGGAATGTCCTCCGTACCCATTCGGGGCACTCTTGGCTGCCAAAGACGCCATCAAAGCTGAGAAGGGCGCGCTGCGTCCTCAAAGTCAGGAGTCTGAGAAGTCGAGCAAAGGATTCTTCGACCCAATGTGCATGGAAATTGAATTGGTTGAGGATTGGAGGAAACCCATCATTGACTTTATAAAATATGGCAGACTGCCAGAGGATCGTGTCGAGCGCAACAGTGTACGACGTATGTCTACCAAGTACACCCTCCTTGATGGGAATGTTCTCTTCTGACGCTCTTTTGATGGAATCCTTCTTAGATGCGTCAACATGAAAGATGCAACCCGGGTATTGGAAGTAGTGCATGGAAGAGTCCGTGGGCTTCATCAATTTGGGCATAAACTCTATGAACGGATATGCAGATTGGGGTATTACTTACCATTGATGATCGCAGATGCGTTAAATTACTCCAAGCGATGTCAGTTGTATCAGATACACTCAAATCTCATACATCAATCCCCAGAGCCGTTGCATCCCACAGTTACATCATGGCCCTTCTCTCAGTGGGGCATGGACATAGTGAGGCCTATTGTCTCACCCTCATGTGAGCCGTTTGTGATGTTGTGATTCCACCACTGGGGATTTTTGTGTGCATCCTCTTTAGTTGGAACCAGGGTTTTCTCTTGTGCTGCCTGGAGCTCTTTGGGACCAGGTGGTGAAGTCTTTCTTGAAGTTTTGTGCTGCCTGGAACTCTTTGGGACCAGGTAGCGGCGAATGGTGCTCATCTTTTTTTTTTTTTTTTGAGCCCTGACATCAAGGTGACATCAGGGATTTTCTTGAGGGTACAAGCTGGGGCTGTCTGTGATGACATGTGTCGTATCAACCTGCTTGTTGGTCCAAGCACGCTTTTTGGGTTTTCACTTGGATTGGGGAAGTGGCACCGTTGGCACGATTTTCACCGACTTCCCTTATATTTGGGGCTCCTTTACCCATGGCCTGGCGGCCATGTCCACCCATTTTCATCCGTTTTTGCTCACGGCGCCCTTGTCGGGTTTTCATCGTGCTTGGGTTTTTGCTTTTAAGACATTTTTACTAACGGTTTCGTGACTGTGCCCGTCCCTTTTCATCATTTTTTTTGTGGGGGTATATTTAAGGTCATGCCTCTGTGACCTGTGCGAAGCCTTTTAACATCATGTGGCTAGGACGTTTACTATAGTTTTAGGTCATACAGTTAGACCGAGGTTGTGCAGTTTAAAGTCATGTTGCGAGGACTTTTTGCAGTTTAATGTCATGTTGCGAAGACTTTTTGTAGTTTAAGGTCATGCAGCTAGACCATTTGCGTGGTGCCTTTTAACGTCGTACAGTCAAGACATGACTATAGTTTAGGTCATACAGTTGGACCGTGTTACTATGGGGCGGATCTGGTGGCTTTCGGCCCATTTTGGGAAAGTGGATCGTGGTGACCCACTAGCTTGCGGCGAGCGAGGGCATTGAAGGGGCTTGCCGCTTTGTGAGAGTGGGTGAGGCTCTTTGGAAAGTGATGGATGGTGCTGAGGAAGATGTATTCCTTGAAGAGTTGATGAAGGTGGTATGCGCCAAAGGTGTTGGGTGCGCGTGTGTGAGTCGTCATGTAGGTAAAACTCCAAGGGATAGAGATAATGGCTCGGTAAGAAGCGGACCCATCAGGGATTGCTGGGGTAAGTATGGCTCCATGGGGATGAAGAGTGATGCACACACCGTGTGGTGCGCATGTATATGGAGGTGTGTTTAAGGTCAGGCCTCCGAGACCTGTGCGAAACAGTTTAACGTCATGCGGTCAGTCAGGATGTGCACTATAGTTTTAGATCATACAGTTGGACCGTGGCTGTGCAGTTTAAAGTCATACGGCTAGGACTTTTCACAGTTTTAGGTCGTGCAGCTAGACCGCTCGCAGGTGCCTTTTATCGTCATACGGTCAGGACGTGACTATAATTTAAGGTCATATAGTTTGGATCGTGGTTGGCAATTTAAAGTCATGCTGCGAGGACTTTTTGCAGTTTTAGGTCGTGCAACTAGACCATCCGCGTGGTGCCTTTTATCGTCATACGGTCAGGATTTGTACTATAGTTTAAGGTCATACAGTTTTGACTGTGCTGCTATGCAGTTTAAAGCCTTGCGGTAAGGACTTTTTGCAGTTTTAGGCCGTGCAGCTAGACCATTCATGCGATGCCTTTTATCGTCATGCGGCCAGGACGTGGATTACAGTTTAAGGTCATATAGTTTGGACTGTACTGCTATGCAGTTTAAAGTCTTGCGACGAGGACTTTTTGCAGTTTTAGGTCGTGCAGCTAGACCATTCGCGCGGTGCCTTTTATCATCATAAGGCCAAGACGTGTACTATAGTTTAAGGTCATATAGTTTGGACCGTGTTGCTATTCAGTTTAAAGTCTTGCGGCGAGGACTTTTTGTAGTTTTAGGTCGTGCAGCTAGACCATTCACGCAGTGCCTTTTATCGTCATGTAGTCAGGACATGGACTACAATTTAACGTCATATAGCTTGGACCGTAAAGTTTAGGGTCGTGCACCTAGGCTATGGCGTAGGTTACCATGGTGGTGAAACTTTGTAGGATGTAGGCTGGTATGGAGCAACCTTCACTAGCGAGTAATGTGGCCAGCATGACCCCGTGGGGTGTGTTTGTGGCTCGGGTGCACTTCACTGGGGATGGTGGTGAACCACAGCTGGTTGGCGCCCGACGTTGAATTTAGTGAGGCATGTGGCATATCATTTTAGTAAGGTGCACGGCGCTGGTTTCAGCGGAGTACAATGAAGCGCACGGCGCTGCCTTTAGTGAAGCACCGGCGCTGGTGAAGGATGCGCACGGTTCTTAGTGAATGAGGCGTATGGCACTTAGTGAATGAGGCTTACGGCGCCGTCCAAGTGTACGGTGTTTGATGAGCTGGCAGAATGTTGTGGACGGTGGCCAGTTGGTGGTACCAGTGGCAGCTCTTGTATTTGGGATGATGGAAATGCAATTCAAACACCAGGCAATATGGAGATCTTTCCTTCGATTTGGACCATTTGGTTGATGCTGCTCTTGATTAATCTTTAACTTTTGGCTTTAGGCTTGAGGTCTCTCCTAAACTGAAATATGCGAGTGTCTTTGAGAGAGAAAGAACTTCACGGCTGTGTTAAGATCTTGTCATAATACTACAAGTAACTCTTTTAGCATTATCAGGATTGCGCTGATCATCAAACTGATAAGTGGCTAGTCTGTGCATTGGTGGATTATTGATATTGGTGCTCTATAAATTATCAGGGAAAGAAATGTCCTAAGTTTGTTATTGCTTAATTTCAAAGAAAAGTTGTGAAAAACACAAGAATATGAGCTTTGTGTGGTAATTTTGTTACAATAACATTCATAGAGGAGTGCATATGGGCATATGATTTTGCTACAGTGAAAAAGAATGAAGTTGGATGCATGGGGTTTCAATAATATAAATTGTACTTAGTTTAACAGGGAAGTTTAAGGCTAATTATTAGAAGAAATTATACAAATTTGAGACTCTTTTACACACTCTGTGTGCTTTATCTTAATGTTTTCTATTGTTAGAACTTTTGGTTTCAAAACTTTATCAAGGATGACATCCAAATTCATGGTTTTATTGACTTCTTTTCAATGCTTGAACAATTCCACATGCAATATGTCTAGTGTTATATTATATTACTTTTTGATTTGACATTATGAAATTTAAACCTGGTGTTAGATTGTGGTCACTTATGAACATCTTGATTTTTCTGAATGAAATTCCTTTTACCTTTAGGGTTATGATCATGCGGTCCTATCCCTTCAGTCAACACATCCAAATCATGGTGTTTCTTGTGTTCAAGCGCACGAGGTTGAGGAAATTAAGAAACTGAAAGATGCTACGAGGACTTTAGTAACTTCTCAATCAGGTACTGAAATATCCTAGATAGCCTCTTATCTTTCACATGTCTTTCTACTTTTTAAGATCCATATTTCATGATAGAAGAACCGTGTCCAGTAACATGATAGTAAAAATGAAATATTTCTTTCTGAACCCTTAACTTATATACTAATGATCGATGGTCTTCTTCATTTTTGGTAAATATCGATATCTTAATCTTACAAAATTCAAGAGAACACAAGGGCGATAAAAGAAAAGAAGACTTAACAGTGCTACATTGTGATTCAAATTGTAGATAATCTATGTTATGTTATCTAACCTATCAGCCATCAAGTTTTCCTCTTGTTTGTGCGACTAGGCACACAAATAATAATCTCAGTATAATAGCTTGATAAATATTTGATTTCTGAAGAAAACTCTCCTAATCTCTATGGAACCAGGGAGTCTCCCCCAATCCAATGTATGGTATTGATAGAGTCACCAATCAATGCCCCTTCAAATGCTTCATCAAGATTCACACTGCTCCTGTTGCATTTAGTTTAACCTATGCTGGGTTCCCGCTAGAACTTAGCTGTTGTACCGTCTTGTTCTGAATCACACCCCAAAGCTTAATCGCTATGATTGTGTTTTGAAAGTAGGACCAGAATTAAGCTTGTCAGGCTAGTGAAGGGAGGTTTTCTCTCCACGTGCAATCAAGAATTAGGCATCCGAATGCGAATAAACTAATCCTAAACTGTACAAGAGCCTTGAAGATCTGCTAACGCAATTCCAGTTATTGCTCATAAAATCCAGAAATAACATCTCAAAAAGGATCTTAACAAAAGAATATCATGATTTGGAAGTTTTAATGCAAAAAATGGAAGCAAACGAGTTTGCCATTTTTTTGGTGGTAAGTTGGGATACAAACCTTGGACATTGTTAATAGAAGTGGAACCCCTAAGATAGAATATAGAATATAAGAAAAGTACAAAGAAGCGTACAAATCCGATTTGGGACTGTAAAAGAAAAAGAAACTCCAAAATTAAAATGAAAATAACTTCTAAATGCCTCCCTAGTTGTTGACATGTTTGGGATGTTGGCATGGTAAGGGGAATAGCATGAGGTATAAGATGCTTATATGGAGTAAGTTTTTTATGTCTTGGCATTGCAGAATGGCCGAGGGTGGTCAAGGGTTGTATCCATTGAAGATCGTCCTAAGAGCCCAAACAAGCTGAGCTACCCTTTGTTATTATGTCCCAAATTTGATCCTACTATTGTAACTACCTATCAACAATAAAAGAGAAAGCAAATGAATTTTCTATGGGATTATCGAGCCTCATTTCCACAAGAATTTAGATTGGCTTACAAATTTTAGGCAATGGTTTGTACTCTATCCAATGTTTAAAAAAATGCTGATCCGGATCAGGAATCGTCGTGGCCGAACCGGCTCTCGTGAAATATCGAGAACTGGCTGGTTCCCCCATGACACAGCCAGTTCTGGCTAATTCTCTAACAGAAATGTAGAATTAGTGTTCTGCCAAAGAACTGATTAGAACCTGCCCCACTTTTTCTTTATTCTTTTCATTTTATTTTAAATTTTTAATGTCTGGTTCGAAAATCCGGATCGTTGATTTTCTGAACCGGATAAAAAAGTCGGATGTGCAATCTGGGTCACCAATCCATTTCTTAAAACCTTGATTCTATCGTTTCTTGTGACTGGTTTAGAATTATGTCAAACAATTTACTAGTAGAAAAGTCCCACAGCTGTGTGACACTTATGTTTGATTCCTAGAGGTTTTGTTTTTTGGTTTTTTTGTTCTTCATCCTTGGTGGCAAGCAGTCCAGGCTCAAACGGCTATATATTTGAAAAAGAAAGCCGGCCAACTCAGTGGAGGGAAGGATTCAAAATCTTTGGGTCCAAGACATTTGGCCTCATCCTTGTTCCGAAGTGGCATCAAGAAGCATAACTTGAGAAAATTTGAAGCTTTCTCTGAAGGCAAACTGCCCCAGAATATAACTCAATAAAAATTAAACTAAGGACTTTCTTCATAAAAAATTGCAGCTTATGTTACTTGTAAAATTCATCAGCCATTTTCGATATTCTTTGTCAGTGAAAACTTTATAATACCGATGTTACTTGTAAAATTCAACAGCCATTTTCGATATTCTTTGTCAGTGAAAACTTTATAATACCGATGTTGGAATGATTGATTCATGCAACACTGCAAAAAAAAAGAAGCCACATTTTGCCTCCATGCTGCCCAAGCATTTACCCCTCTCTCTCTCTCTCTCTCTCTCTCTCTCTCTCTCTCTCTCTCTACGTACTACGTACGTACGTACGTACGTACGTCGTACGTACGTACGTACGTACGTACGTACGTACGTACGTACGTACGTACGTAACGT